GAAATAAATGAAAAAGGCTTTTCTGATATTTTAATTCATTCCAAGACTTTTATTGTAACACAAACTGCTATAAACATTGAATTCAATTGAATAGCCAATCACCATAGTTAATGTATTCTTTTTATTTTCGTTTAGATTTATAGAGCAAAAGAAGCTGACATTTTCAACAAACTGTTTTATTCATTTTAGTTGCTTCTGTGCATTTATGCTGCATTTCCAGAACTATGTGAAAACATTAAAGTCAAGCAGTGGAAGAGGGAGTTACTCCTGAGCCAAGCTAATTCTCCATCACTAGCCTGTCCAGCATTCGTCGCAGTTTGCCCTGGATGCCAGGAGGCCTAAATGAGAGGAAAAAGTGACTAGAAGAGCTTGTGATTTCCAGTAGGATCTAATTAAAGCACTCCAACTTGGTCCAAAGCTGCAAAGACATGAATGTGCTTCGGTGAAAGCTTGACGCGCTCTCACTCACACGTCAAACAAGTTTCCCCTCATCGTAGAACTTTTCTTCTTGGATAGCATTCGGTGGAAATGCAAATCCTAAAGCCATGCCTTGATTTGATGGAACAGTTCATTTTCTTGGCTCAACCTCCAAAACCCCATCCTCCCAGCTGAACCAGCATCCTTCCTTACATTCAGCACCATGAGAATACTATTCACTCTGCTGCTTCTCATTGCCATGCTGGCATTCAGATGTTAAACTGTGGGTTGTTTTCTTTTCTTTTAATGTCCTCTTTCAAATATATCCTCAGCTGCCCCTCCTCATTGGCACAGCTTAATAGAAACTTAATTTAAATGTGATTTTTTTAAATATTTTTCCCCTGGATAACACGGCGGATTACTTACAGCTGCAAGGCCAGTACCAGCATGTACAAGTACTGGTGTCTTTAATCAACTCTATGCACATGTTTAAATTTAGCGGCAAGTAACAGTGGGCTAAAAGTTATTTTTTGTACGTTTGCATACCAAGGAAGTAGCTCTGCTGCAATAACTCCCACCTGATGTTAGCGTGAACATCTAGGATGAAACTTCAAAGGTTAAATAAAGTTAATGGTGACTGCCACTCTTCATCAGTCAGAGCAACTGTTGGTAAACATGCAGACTAAACACACTAGTCGGTTATTTTGCTAAACGGCCAAACTGCTTCAAATTTACTGTGTAAACTTACCCTAAACTTACTACAACCTAAAACTAGGTTAAAGCTATTTTCCATAATCTCTTAACCTTAATCCACTCAGAAAACAAAGAAGACAACCTGTAAAAGCTTTCAGGGCGTGCACATAAACAGGCCTTAAGATGTGCCTGAGGGAGGACACTTGCCATCAACGGTGCACAGATTACAGGTCTTTCTTTTCCATATTTGGTATGAGAGGTACTGATTGGAGGGAAGTTGTTGAGGCCATACGCCGAAGGTGAGAAACGAGGCCGGGCCTCCACGGCTATTAGCCATTAGTGCAGCAAAGCTTGTAATGTGAAAAAATGTGAAAACACCCTCACATGGAAGTCTTTGTTTTGATGGATGGCCTGGAGCAGCCAGCAGTTATAAAACTCTTTGACAATCTATTGTAACAGGTACAGGTGTGACTCCAAAACGCTAAAAACCTTCTGAGAGGAATTAGATATGATATATATATATATATATATATATATATATATATATATATATATATATATATATATATATATATATATATTGAAAACAAATTGTGTATTTCTATTCAGCTATCAGACAGAATACCTTTTAAAATCAAAAGGGCTTCTCTGGTTGACTGCAATGAATGGCATGTTGGGTCCCATAAACCACTTTAAGCAGACTGCAAAATGGCAGTTTAAGCAAATTTGTGTTAAGTTACTTTGGCCGCCCAGTCATGAGTTAAGCCTGCTTGACAAACTAATTGCTTAGAGCAGAGCGATGACTATAGACGCTGCCTTGACTTCTTTATTGGTGAAAAAGAGCCATCAACAGGTTTGAATACGTACTGCACCAGAAGAGCAGCAGCTGGGCCTTTTTATGTTTGAAATAGAAAAGTTAGCATGCATTATGTTTTCTTTTTCTAAAAACACAAAACTGTTATACATGTCAAAAGCATTGATAAACATATCTGATTATACTGAGGGCAGATGGTAGGAGGGAGCTAAATAAAACTGAGTGATTAGCACAGCAGGAGGACATCAGAAAAGTGAAATGTTCAATCAAAACCAGTACCCAAAAAAACTACTTAACAAAAAAAGGGAGAGAGAGTTTTTTTCTCTTCTTTTTTAATGCAGGTCTTCAGATTTCTCTGATGCTTAGAGAAAGTTCTGGATGTTCTCCTGAGCATTGCAACTGATAAATACCCACCTTACTCCTCTGTTTTATTTTTTTCTATTTTATTTTTTATTCTTGTTTTTTACAGTGTCCTGTCTGGCAATGTGGCAATAAGAATAATTATCTTGATGCCAAAAAGAGCCCAACAGATTTTACTTTCACAAGTGGAGCAGTATGGCAATTGCCATA